CAGCTGATGATCAAAGGCAGCAATTGTGTCCCTACACCTACCATTAAATCTGAGTTCCTTGGTCATGTAGTTTCCAGATTTAATCACAGGTTTCAGTGTGCACTTTGTAAAAACAAAGCTGTGAAGGGAAATTAATGACCCTATTATGTCTAAAGAAAAAAGAAGAGATGGTTAGCTAGATTAATTAGTAAGGTTTTGTAGAGTAGAATAAGGATAAGAATTTGCTACATTGTAACCACAAACTGCTGTCAACCTATACAAAGCAACTGGCTGAAATATCCTTGGCTTTCTTAAAACTTTGTTAATCAATAATAAAATAATTATTGCTTTGAGGCAAAGATGCTATGGTGGAAAAAATGCAAAGAAAAATGTTTAACTACATGCAAGCTTCTAAAAAATATGTAACTTGTAATCAGTGTGATTTCTTATTGTGTCAAGATTTTGATTTGTTTTTGGAAAATATGTAAGTTGTGATTGTCAAGTGATTTTATCTTGCATAGATACTTTTGCCTTAGGTGGTATAAAAGGAATAAGAGAAAAACAAAAACACAGAATTAAGTTTTTCTCTCTCAGAGGAGTCTTTGTGTGTGGTGTGTAGTGGCCAACTCTACATCATCTCCTCTTCAGTTTTTCTGACTTGCTGGGGCTGGACTCCAGCAACCAGTGTGACACACACACACACACACACACCCCCGTCTTCTTAGTCTCTCTCTCTCTCTCTCTCTCTCTCTCTCTCTCTCTCTCTCTCTCTCTCTGTCTTCCTCATGGTTGTGGGTCAAGATGTGAACTCTTAGCTGTTCCTTTTCTCTGCCATTATGATTTGTAATGCAAATTAAATGTGTTTTTAAATGAGTTGCCTTAGTCATGGTGTTTTATCAGCAACAGAAAGATAACTGAGACACCTGGATAGCAGCAGAGTACCCTAAAATGAAAGAATACAACAAAAGTCAGAATGAGATCACTGAAATAAGGGATGGAAAGATAATAATACACGCCTTTAATCCAGATCTTGAGGTTGAAGGCACACCTTTAATCTGGACCACACTTTCTGCTGGAAGCCTCTATAAGAACAAGGGAAGAAGGAAGGATTTGTTTGCTCTTCGCCTGCTCGTCCTTGCCTTGCTGTCACATCCATTCCTTCACTGACACTGGTCTACTTCTTCAGGATTCCAGCATATTCAGAAGACCAGCTGAGACACCTGGCCTTGTGAAACTGAGCAGCTGCTAGATTCATCGGGCTTTCCATTCACAGCCAGTGATTGTTGAATTGCAGCCTGTAAGCCATTCCATTATTGAATCTACTTTTAAACTAAAAAAGCAACTACTAGTCTTAAATATTTTACATTGGTATGGATTTTTGTATATTGATATAACTTTAAGGTCATTTTTGTTATACTGTATATACGTTTCTACTCTTAAGGTATTCTGTGTATTGATACAAATTTAAGGTTATTTTTGTTAGAACATACTATACATACATTTCTACTCTTTTAAGGTATTGTACCTATGCAGCTCATTAAACAATGTAATGTAAATTTCAAGTCCTTAAAAGTTATTATTACAAATTATTTAGGATATAAAGAAATGCAGGTTAGTAGTTAGTCACCTACAACAATCAAACTTGTAGTCAGGTATGTTTTCAAGGTCAAACAGATATATTTTATATAGATAGGTGGTCTTCAAATACTTTAGAGATTTATAGACTATGTCATTGAAGATGTTTTAATAACAAGACTTTACATGACAGTGAGACATATCTGCTCCTGGTGGCACCAACTTACTTCAAAAAAGAATGATGGGCATCAAATAACCTCCATATGGAGTTTGCTTTCTTTGTGGTGAAAGCTAGCCATTTAGGCAAGAAACTGCCATTGCCTTGACTGCTGACAGTATGCTGTCCAAATTGAACAAGCAGGACCAGAAAGAAGGCAACTCCGAAATTTGCCATGAAAACGAAGGGCAGTCCTTCAAATTTCATGCTTCACAAGAAAATCTGTCAGATATTCTAGGCCTGTAGGATGAAGATGAATGTCTCAATATTACAGAGGAACCCTGATTGACTGTCCAGGCAGCCAGATGTCTTTGTCATTTCTTAGTTTTGGAAGTTGTTTGCTTTGCACTTCCAGTTTACTCAAGTAAACAGGTCTCTGATGGAGTTGAAGATGACATAGTTATAGTTACAGTTTCCTTTGTTGCCAAATTTAGAAAAGAAACTTACAAAAGAGATGTAAAATGTATAAGATTGAGAAACATAAAAGCTTAGGTTAGTTATTTTTCTAAAAAGATATTTTAAGGCCTAAAAAAGGTATTTTTAGGATGATAATACAAGTTATGACAAAAAATAGTTTAGGTATAAAGCTTTGGACAGATATGCAGGTGGAGGCGTAGCAGCCATGAGTCATGTGACAACATGTAGATGAATAGAAATGAGTTCATTTAAAGTATAAGAACAAGTGGGACAAGCTTAAGCTATAGGCAAAGCTTTCACAATTAATCCTAAATCTCTATGGTTTTTTGTTTGTTGTTTTGTTCTTGGTGTGCTGGCAGCCCAAAGAAAAATCTACCTAATGTTTTCTATGCATAGGATACTACTTAATGTCTCAGTCAGCTTCCTATTGCCTGCAAAATGTACAACACTCCAGCCCCATTTGCCCAAGGGCAGATAAACCTGAAAGCCCCACTTGAACAACTAGAATGTTGGGGCTGTTCAGGTAAGATAACATCTTGTGTTTTCCCTTTGATAAACAAGGTTGGTTGCCCCAACTGCACAAAATGTGCTTGATCACACACAGGTGGAGGTATGTTGGTAGAAAGTACATCAGGATGTAAGATTGCCCCTGATTGGACAAAGCCAGAAGTTTCTAGCCTTGTATGGCCCCCATGGAATAAGTTTTTGAATACTTGGCCCATAGGCACTATTTAGAGGGGTGACCTTGTTGGAGTAGGTGTGGCCTTGTTGGAAGAAATGTGTCACTATGGGAATGAGCTTTGAGATCTCCTATGTTCAAGCTACATCCACTATGGGACAGCCCTCCTTCTGCTGCCTGCTCATCAAGATGTACAACTCTCAGCTCCTTCTCCAGCACCATGTCTGCCTGCACATTGTCATGCTTCTCTCCATATTGGACTAAACCTCTGAAACTGTAAGCCAGCCCCAATTAATTGTTTTCCTTTGTAAGAGTTGCCATGGTCATGGTGTCTCTTCACAGCATAGAAACCCTAAGACAAGCACCTAGTGTAACTCACAGCCATTCTCTTAGAATTCTGGGTATGGATCTGGTCAGTGTCCATCATCCTAGCTAGTATTTAATAAAGCTAGCTTCAAACTTGGCTCAAAAAATTGTAGTAGTGGTCTTATTCTTGCCTGGTGGGATCAACACAGGTACATTTGGTTTCACATATTCCACAACAAAAACTGTCCCAATCCCAAGAGGGCAGCTCTCCTCACATGTTGTGACAGACAGCCAAAGCTAATGAGGCTGTCAAGAAACAACAAAAAAAAATTCATACCATTATGTATTACTGTGGTAGTCACAGAGGTGAGCTGTGACAATCCAAGAGACTACACTACTCAGAAAGCTCACCAGTACCCACTGTCAACACATAAGATTTTCTGGGTGAATAACAGATCTCAAATGAATGCCAAATATTTAAATTACCCCATCCCAGCAATGGTTTACTTCTCTTTCTTGTCCTGACCCCACTTCTAGTGTTGAGGATTCAACCTAGAGCCTCGAATATGCTACAGCTTGTCGGGTAAGTACTCTATCACCATAGTATGTATCCCCAGCATCCTTGTCACTTCTTTAAAAATGTCTGAGGCACTATCTCACCAAATTGCCCAGGCTGGTCTTGAACATGTGCTCTTCTTGCCCCACACCTTGTAAGCAACTGGGATTAGATGCCTGTGCTAATGGACCAGGCTGAAAACTCCATCAAACACTACCTGCTATACTTGGAGGCATTTGTCTCTCAGTGTTCATGTAATAGAGACTTAGTTTTCAATGTAATTATATTCCAGGCTATGCATGCAAGAGATGGAGTCTAGCAAACCATTGGTGGTGTTGCCCTTGCTCTCAAGATTAAGTTCTCCTGTAACCTTGCCAGAGCTCTGGAGAATGAGTTAGAAAAGTCTTCCTGTTTTCCAATATGACCTCTTGGCCCTAACACACTTCCATAATACCATCTACTATAATGTCTTCAGCAGTCAAGCAAAATCAGTACTGTGGTTTGAACCTCCAGAAAGCTAAACTAAATAAATCAAGTTCCAAACTCATACATTTCATTACAGGAACAAAAAGCTAACAAATGTAATGCATTTCTACAAGTGTGTGTGTTACCTGTGGGAAGCCAGACTGACCCAAGACTTTCTTGATGCCCTGATGAGAGGACAAAAGGGACTTTGGTTGTGCCCTTGTCCAGGAATAGACCTGACGAGGTCACTGGAATGAGTGCCTTGGAGGAGTCAAGATTGGAGTTCTAAGAACCCCTCTTTACTCTGGGCTGTGGTACCTACCCCATGTCCTTTGTCAACAATGTCTGACTTAGCTCCTGTCCCAGCTATTGCCTTTGTCTTCTTTCTCATCCCCAGTACTCCCTCTCAACATCTCATCATTTGGGATCCTGATGGCTCAGGTCATGTATTTATTTCCTCCCTCACATGGTTCAAAATCTAACAAAATCCAACTGAAAGAGGTTTTTGTTGTTGGGTTGTTTGTTTTTGGCTGCCCATTCCTACTCACTCTTAAATACATTCCATTTTGTATATGTAGTATGAACAGAGAATGCCACAGAGTTCCCAAGCAGATATATTCAGAGACAAAAAAGTTGTCAGTGACTGTCTGGACAAGCTACTATTTAGTATCATTTAATGTGTACCAGGTTCTGGAAATGAATGCTGAAGATTGCAGGATATTGTAGATGCTCTTAATACTACAGAAATATACATAAAAAAAAAGAGGTAAAATGATAATAGAAAAACAATGACACAGCATACCAACTTTTCAGACATGACCAATTTATTTGAGGAATTCAAATTTCACTTGTCAAAGTATATCCAGGGGCAAGGTTTGGGATAATTATGTCACCAGAAGCAATCACATTTTATACAGTTAATTGACCATGGGGTAGTATCTAGAGGAAAGGCAAAATTTAAAAACAAAACAAAACAAAAATAAAACAAAAACTAGTGTGTGTGGAGCAGTAATTACAAGTATCAGCAAAGGAAACAACTAGCTTATACTACTGAGGCATGAAGCATGCTAACACTAGTAGTGACCCTTTAGTTCAATTCAACACACAATCTGGACTAATTTGTGCGAGACTAGGTATTGGGAATATGGTAAAACACACACATACACACACACACACACACACACAAAAAAAAAAATCAAAGACACACATTCTATCTCTTTATCAAGTGAACTAACAGCCTTTACAAAAGTGGTGTGGGGAAGCACAAAGCAGTCTTCAAAGGCCATGGGAAGAGATTTCTTCCCAATGAAGTTCAGTTGACAATGGCCTCCACTTCAGTCTGGTGGAGTGGGTTGGAAGATCAGAGCCTGCTAAGAAAATGTGGCATCTCTGCATCAAGAAACGGCTTATTTCCTCCATGGCTTTAAATGTGTGAAAAGTACTCAGAGGTAAAATATTTTAATTCCTCTTACTGTTGACCCATTTTCAGAAATGGATTAACAGTAAGTGAGGATGACAAGTTTAGAAGATCAAGGAAACCACAGTCCTGGTGATGCAGGTACAGCTGCTCCAGGCAACACTGTGGATGTATGTTAAATCTTAGCAGTGCTGCAGTCCATCACTACAGACCCCGTTGAGACGACCAAGGCTGGTTCTGGCCACTGCAAGCACAGGACAGGAAGGGTACCTCTCCAGAATACTCCACATAATGAAGGCTGAGGCCACATTTGGGGTCATGAGATTGTTTTCAGATTAAGTATCTCACGTTAACTTATTGTGTTTCTTTCCTAGTTTAAAAAAAATGGAGGAACATGTCTCTCCAGAATGACAAAGGTACCACTTGTTTTACACCTTAAAATAATTTAATTAAATATATTGACAAAACACCACAACCTCTTCTTTTGCACTTTACACGGACACATTATATAATACTTTAGGGAATGATCACAGACATGGTATATAATCAGCTGTTTTAGCATTATTCATCATTATTAACTTCAGTTTGACTTGTATTATCTCAAAGAAAAACATCTCATTTCTTGCATTAAATTAATTTACCACCCATCTCAAAAAATAATTAAAAAACCCCACAAAAATCCTTTGTCAATTTTTGTCAATGCTAAGTCAGAATACCTATAACTGCCAGGCTTTTATAAAAAGGAACAAAGTACACCTATCAGTAGCTCACTGAATTGTGTCATTGCAGAACTCACAACTGTGGCTCGTCAGGGTTAGAATCCTTTCCTCATTAGGAACTCAATGTGTCACAACACACAGTTTATTTAACTAACAGACCACCATAACTCTACCACTAACAGCTATTTTTTTTTTTAAACCAAAATTACCCCAGAGGACTAGAAAAGATAAAGTAGTCCCAAATGATTTACTTAAAAGTAAAATTTGCAAAATGTGATCTATCCTGGTCTTACATTTAATTAAGAACCAAATGATGAAACATCATTTCAGACTTATATACATCATGATCCAGTTCTTAGAAAAATGTACAACTGTAAAGGCTACATTATGCAAAAATAATTTATCAGTTTTATTTAATTTTAATGACTTTCCCCAACTCCGATATAAAAAACATTAAAAGAACTTAAAGTTTAATGGGAAAAAGCTATTTCCCCATATATTAAAAAAAAAGTGTTTTGTATTAGTAACATACAATGCCCTATTTAAGGCACAATTTTTTTTTCTTAAGAAAAAAACCCCACAGACTAGGGTTTTTTGTTTTTGTTTTTTGTTTGTTTTTTTCCTCTACACAGTTATAGGACAGGGCCACTTTGCAGGTATATCATTAAAAACATCTTAATCCAGAACCAAAATGAAAAACTACTTCTGTTTCTACACATCAACCATCTACACAGCCAAGATAGGTAGTTGCAGCTAGAATAATCCCAACAGTTCTTGCCCTAACCTCCTGGGTTGTCCCAGGAAGGTCACCTTTAGCTATCACCAAGCTAAAATGGGCACTTTCTGTTCTACACTGGCCTTCCACTGAATTTCTGTCTGGGTGATCACAGCACTACCACCTCCACAGCCAGAGTAATATTAGGTACTTGAACTTAGGATCTAAGAGCAGGGTAGGGCAGGCAGGGTGAATGCTAGCCTCTCACCCTATTGATATCTCTCCTGAGCTTCTGCACCTTCCTTCTCTTCTCCACCCTGGCCCTACCTACCAACACAGTCTTCAGAACAGTACAAAGCAGGCCCAGGAAACAGAATCCACACAACTGTCAGAAAAACATAAATCTAGATGTTCTTGTCAGTTCACTATACAATGCTAATACCTCATTTGAGTGTTCCAGTCAAAAGGAAAGGAGAAAACTCACAAAGACGAATCTGACTGTCTTGTAGGGCCTTGTAAACTGAACTGAAATAGCGAGAGACATAAGAATGAAAACCAGCCGGGCGGTGGTGGTGCACACCTTTAATCCCAGCACTCGGGAGGCAGAGGCAGGCGGATCTCTGTGAGTTCGAGGCCAGCCTGGGCTACCAAGTGAGTTCCAGGAAAGGCGCAAAGCTATACAGAGAAACCCTGTCTCGAAAAACCAAAAAAAAAAAAAAAAAAAAAAGAATGAAAACCAACAGTAAAAGCAGGTTTCTTTAAGCGGGCTTACCTATCCAATTCTCTGGCATATTGCAGGCTTGTATAGAGATTATATATAGAGATGGGTAGGAAGATGTGCTTTGTAAAAACATTAGTATTGATACACATGACATGAAGTTTATGGTGTTGAAAGTGATTTTCTTTACTTTTCAGTGAGACTCAAAAATAATGGTTAACCAGATCTCTTCCAGGACTGATCACTTTCACTGAGACCTTTACCAGAGTCTCAATTAAGTCTTCAGTGGCCAACATAAAGAGGAATGAGTTTATAAAAGAATTTTGGGTTTAGTATGGGGCAAGGTGGCGTATCAGCTAAGAAAGAGGGCCAAAAGGAAAGATGGGACAGGGCAGCAAAGCGTTACAAGGGTGGCTGAGGAGAAGACACTGAGGGTCTGGATGTCTGTTTCTACTAAAGGGAAAGCAGGTAAGTTTCCAAATGTAAACGTGCTTAGTTTGTTATGTTTAGAAAGAAAACAATTTAATGTTAATTCTGAGAGATATTACATACTCGATGGCTAGTACATTCTGGCACAATAATACCTCATAAATAAATATAAATACCATTTTCCTTGTAATGTGTATTGGCTCTTAAGCAAAATTTTTAAAAAATGAACTGTCTATAAAAGTATGTAAAAATCATTAGTAACTAGACAACACTAACAAATTATAAAATAATACTTTCAACTTTCAGCCAACACCTTAACTTTTGAGCTTAACACAGAAATCATTCATCAGTTATACAAATTAATGAAATTAGAAAATAAAGCAATCATGCTTGCTAATATGAACTAGTTTTGCTTCTACTCAATGATAAAAGTTTCCGAACATTAAAACATTTTTAATTATATTCCATTTCCTGTTTTGATGTATTATAATGAAAACAAATGTCTGTATTACAGGACTCTGATGAGTATCTGCTTCTGCCACCTCCCTGGAGAAAGCAGGGTTTCATTTATCTTGTTATATTGTTTGGTAATTAGATTATGTGCCTGAAACAGTTTTCAAAATTCACAAGTCCTGTTAAATAAATACCAAGTTTCCAACTTTCAAAACTTTGAATTTTCACTGCATGAAGGCTCATTTGTTACTAGTTGCTAAGTATAAGGTACAGCACTTGTAGTGTGCTAAGATCCATTCCACTACTAAAGAATGATGGACCCTATGACATGCAAACCTACAGTGTGCATGTCCAACAGGCTAGCAAGTCCCTCCTGCTCAATTTTACCTCTAAAATAGGAAAATAAATAGAAAATTGCTTTAGGGTTACATTTTTAAGAAAAGAAAATATGAGAAATTCCTCATTAAAGTTTATAAGGGTATCAAAGCCACATGAAAAACATGATTATTTACATTGATTTTCTAGATCACACTAGGAAAAACCACTCCACTAACAAATACAGCCCAGAAAACAAGTTCCTAGAGCAACACAACAAATCCAGGTAAGAAAACAAGCTCTTGTTATAACAACATGAAAAATGCCACCATCTTTTTCTAACCATATTCTGCCAACTGAGCAAAAACACATCTTCATCAATTTTCATGACAGTAATCTGAGAGGAAACTACAGGCTTGTGTCAAAAGTGATTCCTTTGAGAATCTGGTTATTGAGTCTCCTAACAGCTAAAAAGGAGCTGTGCTCATTCTTGATAATAAGAGAATCTCTACTGACAAACCTGGTAAGGTTTCAAAAATCTACTAAAACAAAATTCCTGAAAAATAACTAAAACTAGTCAGTCCATCTAATGTGAAGTAACTTTCAATTATTACAGAATCATTTATATTCTTATAGTGTCTTACAGCATATTTTATCTCTAATGAGAAAATACAGCAAACCATGATGCTAACATTGAAACAAAACCAACTTTACAGGTAAAGACTAAATGCTGGTCAACAGAGAAAGGATGAATGAGTGCACCTTCCAAAGGGAAATGAAAATCAACAGGAACATGGCAGAAATGTTGAAACCATAGATACACTTTGATCAAAACAAAACACACATTCACAAAAAGTTCCAATTATAATGCAGTTCATCATTTGTCTATATTTTCTATCAGCTGGTGAATCTGTTAGTAAAATTTCAAAGAAAATAATCTACTTAAGCCTTTTCTGCTAAATCCATAGAAATGGTAGATGAACAGAGCACTTGTTGCATATTAATGAATATGAGACTTTTTGTGCTTTCCATCTGAGGAGTAAAAATCACCAATGACTTTATTTTCTATAAGATACAACCTCAAAGTTACACTAAACATCTACATAAAACCAAGCCTTCCTCAAACCCAATTCTATATGAAAGTATCAATAGTACAGACTCATCATTTGTTGAGTGAAAATGGTGACTCATAACAGTATAGACTCAGCTCTAGATTTTAATCCACAAATATATATATATACACACATATATATATATGTGCCTTGTGTATGACAACTGTATGAAAATAGTCTCAAAAATAAAGACAATACTTGAGAAATGAAGCAACCTAACTTCCCTGATTTTGCATCCTATTACAGGGAAAGTAAGTCTCTGATGCTTCATAAGTACTTCCTAAGTTCAGGATGGCCTTAACCATGCATAGTCTCCACCAGTCCTTTGAAGCTTCCAACAGTTCAGGCTGAACAATTCACCCCTGGAAGAGTTGCACCCTGTGGTCAGGAATGCTTATTGATGTCCTGACTTTTCTAAATCTGGGAGTTTTCTGACCAGAGCTTGGTGGTTCATTTTGATGCTAGCAAGGAGTCCCCCTTCAATACCATCAGACCCAGTATAACTGATCTCTTCACCACTCAGAGTGGTCATATGCCCTCCAAGGGCTTTTAGGATGGCATTGCCAGCACATATATCCCACTTTTTGATGTACGTCACGTGAATATATAGATCTGCTTTTTCTTGACTCATATCAGGCACATCCAAGAGTGCTAAAACTTTATAACCTAGAAGAGAAAGAAAAATTTAGGTTATCACTCAAATGACTTGATAAAAAGTGTGCAAACTTTTCAAGTACACAGTTGAAGGGAACAGGATGAGATCTTTATGAGCATTCCATACTGCCTTTGCCTAAATCTAAGAACATAATCATGCTTACAAGTCACAACCCCAATATAGGCTCGATATAGCAACAGTACCGTCAAAATAAGCTTACTAATATAGTTAAGCTAGTCTCAATTAGAGGAAGCCGGTCTATGACACATATTTTAAAAGAGCACTACTCCACTGTCTTTTACTAACGAGGTACAAAAAAAAAAAAAAAAAAAAAGAGGAGGAGGAGGAGGAGGAGGAGATCACATCTAGAATCCAGTTCATCTCAACCCTCCTAGCTATTCTGGACATTTACTTTTCCTAACTAACCTAACAGGCATCCTCTATGGAAAAATCTAGGAAAGCAGTATACACAACTGGCAAATTAAACATATCAGGTTGCAAAGTGTCATTTTTCTCCCTTCCAACTACTTCTATCTTAGCACTGCTGAAAATGGACTGGAACACAAATGTTTTCTAATTTTAATTTATCTACTTGAATTAAAAAAATTTCTGACATGATAAACATTCATTAAATGGCCTTTTCAAGCCAAATCCAGGTTACTGTCTGCTCTTGTACAGATCTCATAGTAATAAATTAAACATTTTTAAAGGTGGTTTAATTAAATAATAATATGCCAAAAACTACACATGGCTCACACTATCTGAGTATTTACTACTGTCCATTTTCAGAACTGTGGGCTCTGATTTATAATCAGGCAGTAAAGAACAGGAGATATATGTTAAAATGGGTGAGCATAATACTTTCTTGCTCATCCTAGATGTACAAGTTGAAGAGTTCAGTGATCTAAGGATTAGCCATTCTAGCAATCCCTAGGATGATGCCTGACAGCTTTCTGCCATAAAAACATCTCAAGTCTTCCATCTTTCCTCCTGACAGGCCCACCATTAAACACATAGGACAATTATTTTACAGTCAGGTCATATTTAGAGCAGCCCTGCTGGTGTACAGATGTACACTGAGGGCAGTATGCTTTTGTGGTAATTTATGAAGAGCTACCATGAAGTAAGACTTGGTTTCTGACACAGGTAATGGTAATGCAGTCCTACCCTAGAGATGCCCCATAGGAGTCTGAGCCTGTCTCCAAAATACACTGCCTCCTTATTCTGTGCCTATGTAAGGGACAAACAATTTGGTCTCCTGAGAAATCTGTGCCCATGCTGGAACATACTATGGAACCACAAGATGGGGAGAAGCGGGGGAACATACCAGCACCACCAGCTGGGATGATTGTTGTCTGGTTTCCAAAGGTCTGCAGAGCAACCTGTTTGACCATCCCTGCATGAGAGCGAGACACAATGATCTTTGGGGTCTTCTCATTGTAGGAAGAACGGGCTTTCACATTTGAACCACCATCTACCATTGCCCAAGCTGAAAAGCAAACGGGATGCCCATTAACAGCCCTGAAGGTTTATAATTCCAAAGCATTATACAAATTACAATCTTCAGAGCCAAGTGACTGAAAAAAGAAAAAGTCATTTTCTATAGACTTAATCATTTATTTCCCTCAAACAGATTTTTTTGTTAAGTACAAAAATTACTTAATTTTTTAAAGTAATAAAATAGGCAATTATTGAAACAAAGCTTCCAAGTGCCCTGTGTCCTTCACAATTAGAACAACTATCAAATATTTGGCATAAGAATTCTGGTACCCTCCCCATTACCAAATGGCCTCTATTGAGACCACCTTGTAACTCAATTCCTAGCTATACTTAGCCCATTTTCTTCCCTCCCTTCAAAAATTTCACCTCAGTACAACAGTCCTTAACAAACATCTTGACATTGAGCTCATCATCAAAGTCAGATTCAGAAAGCATAATCTGTGACAAGAACATAACTGTTTGGATAATTCAAATTTCAAACTTGATTTTCTTCTATCTCTACTTCTGATACAGTCATGGTTTTATATACTTGCATACTGCTCATTTTCCCAAATGGCTTTAAACACACAAAATAGTTAATGAAGTGAGTTAGGTTTATACACTGTCATACCAAGGAGCATGTCCTGGTGAGTCGTTGTCTTGACATACTTGTGAAGAAGGAACCTCAACTGAAGAATTGTTTCTATGAAATTGGCCCATGAACATGTCTGTAGGGTATTTTCTTGACTGCTACTTAATGTAGGAGGGTCCAGCCTATGTGGCAGCACTATCCCTAGGCCAGTGGGCCTGGGCTGTATAAGGTAGCTGAGCAGCTAAAGAGATGGTCCAGCATTTAAGAGGACTTGCTGCTCTTCCAGAGAACCTGAGTTCTGTTCCCAGCACAATGTCAGGTATCTCACAATTGCCTTTAACTCCATCCCAAAGGATCCAATTGTCTCTACTAGCTGCTATGGGCACCCTTACATGTGGCATACACTCACTAAGACACATTCAGATACATAAATAACACAGTAGTTGCCTGTGGGAGCCTGGGAACAAGCCAGAAAACAGCATTCCTCTGTAGATTTTGCTTCAAGTTCCTGCCTTGGCTTTCCTTGATAATGGACTGTACTTTCCAAGATGAAATCAACCCTTTCCTTCCTACGTTACTTCTGGTCATGGTGTTTATCCCAGCAACAGAAAGCAAAGTAGGAGAGAGCATAAAAATACAAAGTCAATTGAGTGTGGAAGCTCATACCTAGAATCCCAGCATTAGAGAGGCTGAAGCAGGAGGGCTGCTATGAGTACAAGGCCACTGCAGAATGCATAGTTCCAAGCCACCCTGGTACGGAGTGTGAGACCCTCATCTCAAAAAGACTGAGTCAAAGAAACAAACTACGGAACGGGTGGTGGTGGTAGAAGGAGGTTTCAAAGGAGGGAGGGGCTTCCAGAGATAGCTTAAAGTGCATGCTGGGGTTTAAGTTTTCCTCACTCTGGGGCAAACAATGTAAGAAAGCAACTTCAGTCAAAAGTAAACCAGTTATATTGCTATTCTAACATTCACGAACTATGGGATACCATGGTTAGCAATGAATGTAGTTTATTCCTGGCTAGAGGGAAAAAAAAAAAAAAAAAAAGAGGAAGGTCTGGGTTTCTGAGTCACCATGGATGATGGCAGCCATCCATCTAAAAGCTATACATAACCACAAGGGAAGTGAATATAAAGCCTTTTCATCTGTATCTCCAGAGTAAGTAGGAAACAGAAAGACAAATCCAAACAGATGAGAAAGCAAGGAAACAAACACTGCAAATCAGCAGAACAACTGCCAAATACAATCTCTGTGTGTCCACCACAGCAGGAGCTTCAGAGAAGTACCAAGAGGTTGGCCAATTCTCACTATGGGAGGACTTGGCTAATAGGAGCCAAGGTTCCTTCTTGACCCAAAATTAGTCAATAAAACACTTAGAAAAGACAGGGAAATTGGGGAAGTGAGAGGAAGAAGACATCTCTGACATTTGGAAAGACAACTACAGCTGTAAGGAGGCAGTGGCCTCCCAGGAACAAGACAAAAGAAATAAAGCAGGTGCCTAATAAGAAGCCTCCCATCTCTCAGGGGAGAAAGCTCCTGGAGAAGGAGCATCCAGTGGCATCTGATCAAAACGCCCAGAAGACTAGGTGTCCTACGGGAGAAGTGGCCTGCTCTCCAAAACAAGGAAAGACATGGGGCTAAGAAGTGCTGGAAGCTGTTCCCCATGAAAAGTACATAAGGCAACAGCTTTGTGGCTAGAAGAAATCCACCTCACTTGACAGGACCTTGTTTTAGGGAAGCAGCTATATAAATCCACTCCAGGAACATGCAGAGAAATGAAAATACTGAATGCCATGGGGAATAATGGTTAGCTGAGGCAAAATACAGTATCTTAACTTTAAAATACACTGGAGGAAAAAGCTCGTGAGTACTTACCATAATTTTGTGGCTGTATTTACAAAAAGTTTCAAAAGGTGGAAAAAAAATCTTTAAATTCTTTTCTAATTATCCTTCACTAACTATTCTGTTTACTAAGAAGTGAATTTACAATGCTCTAGCTCTAGGGGTCAGTATTGTGTAGGATACTAGCAATTACTAATTCAGTATTAAAAAGGCACTTCATGTTAAATATGCAATACACTAATATATAGCAGTTACATGGATAAATATTTTTTAGTTTGACTTTTAAATTATGGGTAAGTCTGTGTGTAGGTCTGTAAACATGAGTGCAGATGCTAGGAAGTCAGAATAGGGTGCAGATCCCCTAGAGCAGGAGTTTCAACAGGGAAGCTGAGAACTGAAACTTGGGCCCTCTGCAAGAGTAAATAGGTACCCTTAACTATAGAACCATCTCTCTAGCTTCAATGAACATATTTAAATTAGATTTAGGTGACAAGGTAAAAGAGCAGTTACATAATGTGTTTATTTTGTGATAAATAAAGAAAAGCTCTACCTGTAATCTCCTGATACCTAGCACATGAAGTCCAGTGCAGCACAATGTCTCTTTCTCCTCTGACTGCATTAGTTACATTTAGCTACACAGAATGTAAATCTGATTATTGTGGCTCTGCAAGTAAGCCTAAAAAGCAGGTGTGGTTCAGTGGTTCAAAAACTTAATGTTTGTTTTTGCTTTTTTCATTTTATAAGGTATACTGTGATATATATGTATATGTAGCCCCAAAATATAATCTTGAACTTTTTTATTTTTAATATATTTTTATTATTTCAGTGTTTCATACATGCATAGAATGTTTTTATTTTTTAATTTTAACAGCTGTAAGAAACTAACATACAAATTTGAGGATGACACTAATATTACCCATAATACATGGTCATAGTTTTTAATACTGGCAATGTGGACATTGTCATCTTGGAGAATGGTGGTGCCAAAGCTCATAATATTTGTCCTATGAGTTGAGGGGAATTAACCAATAAAAAGCACCACAAATCCTTGCAGCAGTCAGCAATAATATTTATACTAACTATTCTTCCCCCACAACAGTAATAACTTACGTTGCCATGGTGAACATGAGACTACTGCCCACACCTTAGAAAACCAGAACACAGGCAGCCTTGCTGAATGAGGAACTGTACTGTAATATCTTCCCCACTGAACGGACTCTAGCCAGTCAAAGCATGGCAAACATGGCTCTGGCAAGCCTTGCCCTTCTCCCCTATTCCCTCTGCTTTGCTAAAAAACTGTTAGATTGCATTCCTAAAGCTGGCCATCAAGGTCTATTCCCTTATTTGGCCACTTCCTCCTCCTGAGGCTGACTACCAAGGTCCAGCTAAGAAAGAATTGAAGTCCAATAATCAAAAAACCCCTTTGGCTCACCTAATTACTATGCCCATTAAAATTAAACACCTCATCCTAACACAGGGTTTCTCCTTTCATCTTTATAAACCACCATTTGCTTATGGTCCCCATCTGTCTCTGCTCTAACCAGAGGCAACCAACAAATACCCGTTTCCCCTTTCCCTTCTTTCCTTCCCTTTCTCCCTCATCCTCTATCTTTTGTCTTTGTCTCTTATTTCTTGTCCTTTGTCCCTCTGCAGCAAATAAATCTCCTTTATGTTGAGAACTTGGTCTTAGGGTGTTTTCAGATGACTTCAAGGTTCCCCACACCTGCATCCACTGACTTTGGCAGGGCTATAAGCAAAGGTCATAGCCTAACTGAAGAAGAAGTTCCTTGACATGGTCATCCATGCCTTCTTACAACACAGCCATCAGTGACCTGACCTGCATTTTGTAGGAAACTAACAAACACGATCATATGAAGAAAGGACCCTAAGGTTCTCTAAAAGATGTGTGCTGTAGCTACAAATGGGACAGCTACTCTCCCACTTCTGATGTGTAAGTATCACTCTTCTTTATCACAATATCGAGCTCTGCATAATACAACAGATTTGGCTAGAACAACTATACAGCTTTACAAAAGAATCCAGTGTAAGAATCCTAGACCTCACCTCCAAGAACACCATGAAAGAAATACAAGACACCTTGCTGGAGAATGTTTCTACCTAACAGTATTTCCAACAGATTATTATTATTATTTTTTTTTTAGAAAGCTGTATTTTTTCACATACTATCAGTGTCAACCATAAAATCCTCACTGTAGTCAGTAGTGTACATGGGTGGGGGACATATCAATTACTAAAATCCTAGAATAATGGTTAAGTACTATAGACAAACAGTTCAGTACCACTGCCTCTCAAAGGTGCTCACGTATACTTCATACCTGTATATTCAGAAAATGGCTTATGAATAACTCCTAGCACAGGTTTGCCATTCACAGCTACACACACCATGGTAGTGACATACTTTCGAAGATCCTCTAGGAGAAAACACAAAGGCATGGCTGTTAAAGTATTGTGTTTGATTTCAGTACACAACAGGATACTTACTTCATCAGAATTCAGATGTGTGAAACACCTTTCACAAGCAAAACTGCCCTAAGCAGGAGATCTGCTAAGTAGTTATGAGATCTGGTTACCTGGGTTAATCACTCAGTCCCTCATTTTAGTAACTTCAGTTCTTGGGCAAATTAAACTTAGTTTCCTAACCTATATAATACTGATAATTATTTATCTTTAGATATAAATTAAAGTAATTTTTAATTTTATAATCAAATTTAAAAATCAAGTTAGAAATTTAAACTAGTCTTGTACACAGGGATATGATCACTAATTATGATGATGTACTCAGGCCAGTTAATTTAAAAAACAACTTTTTGCCAACAAGCTCAATAGTCTATGTTTCTAGTATTTACTCATAAAAATCAGTTTTGCAACTTTAGTCATTAAATATATATATATATATATATATATATATATATATATATATATGTATACACACACATATACACCCGTGCCTTCTCTTCTTAATAGTAATAATCTATGGAGTACATATTATGGTTCAAATTTAGAATACAGAATGCCAAGGTGTAAAAGTACAAATTCACATATTCTGGGGGTCTTACCTTATAGAGGGACAAATTAATTTTAACATATACCAGAAAAGAGTAAAGCAGGAATTAGATACTGCTGTGTAAGAAAGAACCTGAGAAAAGACCACAGAGATGAAACTTGAGCTGCGCAAGAATAACATGAATGTGTATGTGTTTGGGGGTTGATGGTGATAATCTTATTTTGCTACTTTTCACTTTCTGGCTCCATAAAATTAAGTATTTTGAATTCTTATGTCAGATGTATATATAATAAAACCTGAATTCTCAATACCCAAAGTAAATATTATATTCTGGCTAATACTTTTCCTCAGTACTAGCTGTCTAGTAGTATGCTGGTGCCACTGTATGAGCTAATATTATCAGAGGAATATGCTATGGTATGGGAAACAAGAATGAGAATCAACCATTCAGTCTAAAGGGTTCATAAAATACCTTAATAACCTAACCTGCTTGTCTGGAAATCTAATTGGATTCTTAAAATCTAACTGGAAAATTTGTAAAGTACTTGCCCCCATGCACACACTATCAGCCCTGGTCCATGTTCTCTAATATAAACTGACAATCTACTATTTGAGATTCACCTGTGTATTCCTGTGTAGCATCAAGCGGGTCAATCCAGACAGTCACACTTTCTGCGGGTACCTCCTTAGGAGCAGTTATTTCCTTTAGGATGTCTTCAGGAATCTTACGATTCCATACAATGACCTCCTTGTCAGATGCATCCACGTGTTCCTCGGTATTTATCTACAGTGGAAATAGTTGGTGTGACAAAGGAGAAAATCATTACTTAATAAATCTCAAAAAAAAATGCATCCCAGATAATTCACATAAATTCTTATTAATGAAAACCTTAAAATATTTCAAAGAATTCAATGCAAAATTTAAAAAAAAAAAAGCATCATATAAAAGCACTGGAGCGACATTTTATCTTCAAATACTTTCGAATCTAATCTTCAAGTTTAGTGTTTTGGTTAATATTGACTGAGACTCCGAGTAGAGACAGGGTCCTAATACAAACTGAGAAACATTATTAAAGAAGTGAGTTAGTCAAGGCTGAATCAAGAATAAAAGTCCTGAGGGGTCTGAAGTTGTGGCATGTCTACAGTCCAGTGCAAGGGAGGGTGAGGGAGGAGGAAGAGGGTGCCTCAGGCCACCCTTAGGCTATATATATCATGGAACTCGTTTTTAAAAAACAGTAAAAAAAATTCTAAAGTCTGAAAAGAGATATTTTCTAGAACACTGGATATAAGCAACTGCAGTTAGAAGCAAACAGAACAATAAAAATGCAGTTATACAAAGGATTTGCCTTAAAAACAGAATTTGAATGCTAAAGGATAAAATGGCTGAGGGAATTAGTTGTCTAAAATGAACCATTTAAGCAGTAAGGAAAAGAAATGCTGGATCACTAAATAGATAAGCTAGCATATTACAAAATCTAAATAAATTGAAATAAGCAATAAAAAAGGACACAAAAATGAATGCCTAGCTGTCTTTTAACTATACATCAAAGATGTATCGAAGGGTAAGAAGGTAAAGTAAAAATTTCTGTCTTTTCATTCATGTAAGAAAAAAATTAAAACATAAATCTGACTTATCATAAATACATAAAATTGTGAAGTGAGGAGAGAATACATATAAATATATTTTTATTTCATGTATAGGAATGTTTTGTCTGCACGAACGTCTATGTTATCACATATGCCTAGTGCCCTGGTGGCCAGAAGATGGTATAGAACCCCTACGAACTAGACTTAGATACTTTGTGAGCTGCCACGTAAAGGCTAGAAACTAAACCTGGATTCTTTCTAAGAACAGCAAATACTCTTAACTGCTGAGCCATCTCTCCAGTCCCCAACACACACAGTTTTTAGAGCTGGTACTTTCCATAAACCATCATAAATATGGATACATGCAGTACCATGTATAGTAAGAATTCTGTTGAAAAAAGGATACTGCACATTTCTTTAAATTGGCATTTTCCACCATGGCACCCCAATTACTTTGAGTGAATAAACTTGTTATGAAGCTACCCATCTCGTGCATTGTAGGCTGCTTTGAGCAGCCCTGGCTAGATGCCTATAAAACCTCTCAAGGCATATCCATCAGTTTTGAGAATTAAAAATGTCTCCAGATGTTGCCAAAAAATAGACCTCCATCCTGCCCCACATAGAATCACTGCTTTACATATTGAACTTATTATTGTAAACATTGTCAAAGCCCACTGCTAGGGAGCCTGTAGGCCTGAAGAAGAACTCAATGATGTTATCTTTTTGAATTATATAATCACACTGTCTTCTAAATATTTATGTTTTGGTGTTCATCCATGTATGTAAGTATACCACATGTATGCCCAGGGAGGCCAAAAGGAATTCAATTCCCTGGAACTGGAGTTAGACAGTTGTGAGCAGCCACGTGGGTCCTGGGACGTGAATCTTATTCCTGTGCAATAGGATCAACTGCTCAGGATTAACCACTGAGACATCTTGCTAAACCCTAAATATTTTTATTTATATTCATAGATTTGTGCTGCTCCAACCTTGGTCAGAGAAACTTTTTACTGCAGTGCAGCAGATAGTGGTTAATGCAGGGACACCATGCTGTTCAGACTGCACAGAGTGTTATGATATGAGTGCTCACAGTCACAGATGAGACATCAGCTCTGTCCCCACCAAGGCTCAGGGAACTTCTACAAAGAGGAGGTAGAAAGACTGCAAGAACTGCAGGAGGGAGGGGATGCTGTGAAACACTATCCTGTAACATGGCTGTTTCACACATGAACTCACAGCAGCCGTGGTCATTCACATAAGCCATGATTTGCAACTGATGACTAAGCAATGAGACAACACAAAAGAACTTGAAGAAAAATTCCATATTATCAAGTATAAAATACCATCAACTGCATTTTGATATATTAGTAACAAATATTTTATTTTCTTTGCTTAATACTGACTCCTTCTGAAATTCTTTTCTGCAGTATTCGAATCAAGGATCCCAGCTCCACCTAAGTAGAGGTCTCTGAAAATAATTTCTCGGGCTACCATAGGCTATAGCCTCGGGCCTTTCCTCCCATTGTCACTGACAGTGGGAGTCAGTGAGTCTTGAAGATTCTACCTCCCAATTTTGCACCACCAAGTATATCAAGAAAATACTTAAGTTTAAGCCATTAGGGTCATTTTCTCACTGGATTCCTATAATAGCCTTTCCATTTTTCCTATGTTCTGTATCATATTCACTTATTTATTCAACAAGTATTTAGCTACTGAAATGGAATAATGCATAAATCAGACAAAAATAATTTCCTCTACACAGCTTTCCTTATTTATTTACGTACGTACGTATGTATGCATGTATGTCTCTCATACATTACATCCCAATTGCAGTTTCTCCTCCCTCCACTCCTCTTGCTCTTCCCCAACCCCATCCCCCAGATCCGCTGTTCCTTCATGTCCCTTCAGAAATGATCAGGCTTCTCAGGGATATAAACAGAACATGGTATACAAGATACAATAAGGCTAGACATAAACCCTTATATCAAGGCCAATGAGGCAACCCAGTAGGAGGTAAAGGGTCCCAAGAGCAGGCAAAGGAGTCAGAGACAGGGCTGGAGAGATGGCTCAGTGGTTTAGAGTACTGGCTGCTCTTCCAGAGGTCCTAAGTTCAATTTCCAGCAACCACATAGTAGGTCACAACTATCTATAATGGGATCTGAAACCCTCTTCTATTGTCAAGTCATACATGCAGATAGAGCACTCAACTCATACATGAAATAAATACTACTGTTAGGAGTTACATAAGAACACCAATCTACACAACCACAACATATATGCAGAGGACCTAGCTCAGACCCATACAGTCTCCGTGAGCCCTATGAACTTAGCTGATTCTGTGGGCATGTTCTCCTGGTGTCCTCAACCCCTCTACAATCCTTCATTTCTGCAGGGTTCCCCAAGCTCCACCTAATGTTTAGCTGTGGGTCTCTGCATCTGCTCCCATGAGTTGCTAGATGAATATTCTCTGATAACAACTGGGCTAAGCACTGATCTATGAATATAGCAGAATATATTTAGGAATCATTTCACATATATATTCAGTTGTATTTGGTTCTATCCTAGGTCTCTGGGCTATCCAGCCTCTGAGTCCTGGTCCTCCAGGCAGTGTTAGGAGACATACTTAGCCATTAGGTAAATATAAGTCAAAACAACTTTGAGATTCCATCTTATACCTGTCAGAATTGCTAAGATCAAAAACAAGTGACAGCTCATGCTAGCAAGAATGTGGAGCAAAGGAGCACTCATCCATTGCTGGTGGGACTACAAACTTGTACAGCCACTATGGAAATCAACTGGGAATCAATTGATCTACCTCAAGACTCAGCTATACTATTTCTGGGTATATACCCAAAGGATGCTTCATCCTACCACAAGGACACTTGATCAAGTCTGTTCATAGCAGCCTTATTCAAAATAGCCCAAAACTACAAACAGCTTCCCTTCTTAAAACTGCCATTATGTTAAATGAGATCATGCCATTCCCAATTTAAACAACACCAACACCACTATCAACAATAAAACTCCCAATAACTTTCAGCATGTAGAGATTAAATCCAGAGTTGTCACATCTACAAGGTAAATCGTAGATGATCTAATGCTAACAAACACTATGCAGGATGTCTCTCAGGTTGCATATTTATGTATGGACTCCAAAACTTACCATCTTCTTACAGGGGTCTTTATACGTGCTGTACTCCTCTGCGAAATCACTCTCTCCAGTTACTTACAATAGTCTACAGAACTGAATTCAAATGAAACTATCTCAGTCTGACCTTTCTGTACTACCATAAAGATCCCTATATACTCTTCTCACAAAACAAGACTTTGTCCTCTTCAAAGCCCTTATAAATTCCCAAAATGACCATGTTTGTTTGCATGTTAACTTACTCATCTTGAATAGACAAGGCATACATTCTCTTGCAAAACACCTATGAATAGCTGCACAGTCTAAACCAAGCATAAATGTTCATTCCCTATTTGAGGATACTATTCTTAGGCTATGGTGGTTTGCTTTTTTTCCTCCCTCATTTATTCTCCCACACTCCCCTCCTGTGTTAGCAATTATGCCTCCTTCATGCTCAATGTCTCTGTCCATGGACTTCAACAGTGAACTAAGTATAACAAAATCACAAAAGCTTAGGACTTCCTACAGACAACAGTTTTCACCAATCACTAACCATCCCTTCTTATCCCAACCTGGCTACCCTCAGAGAAGTCATTTATGATAGGAATGGAAAATGAAGTTTTCAAAGAACCTATAATTTGGGTGATGTCAAATGTTTCTTAAAACCAGAAAATTGTACACTGACCATAGGTTATTCCTGTAAGTGATGCCTAGTCTTGCAATTCCCACTCATTCTTGGCAACTGTTTATCTGACATCGTTGTTTATTAGCCTTAAGTATTATTAAGGACACATTTCTTTTGGCCAGCTGTTTTTCTTTATAAGTCTGCCTAGTGCTCACAAAATCTAGTTCTCATTTCCTTCCCAGGCATATAAAAGTTCATAGATGCAATCTCCTTTGCAGTTAGAAAACACACTAGATGTTCTAGCAAATGAAATACGGACAAAAATGTGACACATCTAACTTTTTGGCTCATGAAAAGAAAAAGTTTTTCACGTTTCTCTGCCATGTTGCCATGGCAGAACTACACATTAACAACACCAACTGGGTCAGAGTCACAGTATGAAGGA